CACCCACCCACAGTGATACCCTCAGCCTTCCTAATACAAAAAAAAAGATTATTTGAATTCATAAATTAATATACAAGACAATTACATTTATTATTAAACAAGTTAAACGACAGTGACACTGACAATGAAACAAGCTAACTTAACACCAAAAGCACATTAAAGTATCTTACTGAGTTATGAACTATTTCAAGTAAAAGCAGGACCTGGAATTTAGGTTGTGGACCTTTCAGTTTGGAGTGTCAAAGGTCCTGGACTGTCCAGTACCAAATGTTAATTTTAACCCCTGCATTCACAGTAAAGCGATTTTGACGTGTATTGCAATTCCAAGTAGAATTTACTTTTGGACATTAAACGTTTCGAATGCGTATTAAACTAATTCAAATCAGTTAATAATGTGAATCGAATTCGAATTATGTGTGAACGCAGCATTGATATACAATGTATCTAAGAAATGAAGAATATTAAAAAAAGATGGAAAAAATATTTGTATTAAATTTGTTGCAATTTTTGTCTTGCCTTGACAAAGTCAAAAAGTGAGACATATATATATATATAGGCATGCTGTTTTGGCGGAATCAATAATGTATTAGTTTGTGATTTTGTGATAAGGTCTGGTTTCTGGTAGGTCAATGACATTTTGTAAGTAGTTGTGTTAGCATAGGCACATCTCATTACCATAGAGAATATTTGGCCCCACCCCCTTAGTCATGGTCTATTGACTTTGAAACTTTGCATAGTTTACATGTATATGTTTGTGATTAGGTCAGTTTAGGGGGAACCACTAGTGGTAGGTCAATGATATTTGGTGTGCAGTCGACTCGTATAAACTTTTTCATTTCTAATTTCCATTGAGATTATTTGGCCCCGCCCCCTCAATCATGCTCTTTTTACTTGGAAACTTATGTTACTTTGAAATTTCATTTATTAGTTTTCGATTAGGTTAGTATTAGGGAAACCAATAGTGGAAGGTCAATGATAATTGGCATGTAGGTGTAGAAGCATTAGTACGTCTCATTTCCATAGAGGATTTTTGGTCCTCAACCCTCAGTCATATGCATGATCTATTGACTTTGAAACTTTTACTTAGTTTACATGAATGAGTTTGTGATTATTATGATTATGTCAGTTTATAATTACCAGTAATCTTAAGTCAAAGCTATTTGGTATGCGAACGTATTGGTATTCAAAAGTTTCATTTCCATGGATATTATATAACCCCACCCCCTCATTATGGTTCATTGACTTAGAAATTGAATTTGTGTTAAGGTTTGTTTAAAGGGAACGACTTATGAAAAGTCAATGGTATTTGGTTTGCAGTTGAACAAGCATTGGCACCTTTCATTTCCATAGAGATTGTTTAGCCTTGTACTTTCAGTCATGGTTCATTGACTTTGAATATCACTTACATGTTAAAGTATTACTATTTTAAGTGTAACATTTGCATTATCAAAATAACAAATAGGCAAAACATTACGTTGTGTTAATAGCTTATTATAGATTAGACATGTGTAATTATTATAAAAATAAGGAGATGTGGTATGATTGCCAATGAGACAACTATCCACCAAAATTCAAATGAAGTGGATGTAAGCAATTACAGGCAACCGTACAGCCTTCAAAAATATATGTTGCATCATTGCTAGGCCATTATAACAACATCAGCATTTCTTGTAATACTAGTATACAAGAAAATTACACCATTTCAGATAGTTTCAGGTATGATTTGATAATTGTGCATAGTGGCACCAGCTGATCCAACTAAAAGCGCTAATATGGCATATTCAAACTCTAGTACATAGTGGAATTAAACCATACACCACTGTTGGACACCATAATTGAAATTATTATTCTGAAAAGAATATTCCTCCATGCAGCCTGCAACAATTAGCAAAACCTATACTGCATAGTAAGATATAAACGACCACGAAATGACAAATGTAAAACAATAAAACTAAAGCAGCCTGATTTATGTACACAACAATTATGAAAAATAAATATGATATACAGCAACAATCAACAATCACCAAATTACTGGGTCCTCACTATGGACAGGTACATACAGAATGTGGCGGGTTAAACATGTTAGCTGGAACAAAACTCTCCCCTAACATGGGACAGTGTATGTGCATAATCTCAGACATTGAATCTTTAAAAAATAAATTGGAAATAACTTTTGAAAGTGGTAGGATTGGATAGCAGAAACATTACGGTACAAACATTATTTGATACTTGAGAAATAGCTGAGATATATAGATTCTACCACTGCATCGAGTGTGATATGATATTTATCCACTCGAGACAGTCATGACAGTTAAATTTTCAAATTTAAAACGCGAGGCTCGCCGAGCGTTTTAAATATTTAAAATTTAACTGTCGAGAGTGGATAAATATCGTATTTCACGAGATTTGGTGGTGGAATCTGTTTCTCTAATGATTTTCAAACAATATGCAGGCAAACTTATTCCGTCTTTTCGAATGATCTGTAAAAAGATGTGTTCTTTCTATGTGACGTCATCAGGCATGGTCGCCTTTTTTCATGCCGTCACAATAGGAAATTCAGAGGAAAGCAAGTAAATTCGACGTCATAATCGGATTTTAACCAATGAAGAACTGAGATCAAACGAACCACACGTTGATTAAATTTTTTGTATACAATGGGTGCAGAAAGGGATAAATTGACGAAGAATTAGAGAAAAATATTTTCATCCATTCTTCCGCTATATTCATCTTAACTTCTGCCAAGTTTACCTTTGATTTTTTTAATTAACTGCCTATAGCGCCTTTGGTGCTTTGATTTTAAAAGAGTTATGCCCCTTGTAAATATTAAATTTATGGAAAATGGCCTCGCTAGTGCTCTCACCAGATTTTTATAAAACTTACAATATCAGCAAAATTTCAGACAAGTACTATAATGGTTGAAGATCGACTTTTTTAAAAGAGTTATGCCCCTTGGAAAATATAAAATATGTGCCAAGCGGGGCACATTGGAACTCTGTTCTTTTATTAATCTTATTTTCAAATTTCTGCCTACTATTTGGAAAATTATCAGGACTATAATAGATAGGTAGAAATTGCAAACAGCAAAAATAATTAGATATATAAGATCTACAAAAAAAAAATGGAATTTAAACCATCAGGTGACTCCTTACAGGAGTTATTGCCCTTCAAATGTGATTTTTGACTTATTTGTAAATTTTTGCCTTTTATCTTGAAAACTTTTATATATAAGTAGAATTTGGAAACAACAAAAAAGTAGATACTGTGAACAGCAACAATGATCAGCTATTCAAGGTCAACAAAAATTCATACATGACCGTAGCTATTAGATAATTGCTTATAGGAGTTTCTGCCCTTTAAAGACAAATTTATTTAGAATTTCAGAGTATTTGCCTCGTATCTTGAAAACTTTAAGAAATAAATAGAAACTGTTATCCTCAAAAAATGATTGATATATATAAGAATGCCAATATGACAGAAACCATTGGCTGACCCCTTATAAAAGACAATTGTTTACTAACTTTTAAGTTGTTGACATTTATTTCAATTTTGGAATCGATAGTATATAGGGAGAAACTAAAAAGAAAAAAAAATATCAGCAATACAAGGTCAACAAGAAAGAGATTTTAGTCGTGCATTATATTGTAGTCTACAATGTTGGAGAAAGGTCATTTTTGTCGAGCCTGCGACTTTTGTCGCAGAAAGCTCGACATAGGGATAGTGATCTGGCGGCAGCAATGGCGGCGGCAGCGTTAGCTAACTTCTTAAAAGCTTTATATTTTAGAAGGTGGAAGACCTGGATGCTTCATTCTTTGTATATGGATGCCTCATGTTACGAAGTTTCCGTCAGTCACATGTCCAATGTCCTTGACCTCATTTTCATGGTTCAGTGACTACTTGAAAAAAAAGTTAACATTTTTTGTAATGTTAAATTCTCTCTTATTATGAGTAGTAGGATAACTATATTTGGTATGTGCATACCTTACAAGGTCCCCATGCCCGTCAGACAGTTTTCACTTGACCTCCACCTCATTTCATGGATCAGTGAACAAGGTTAAGTTTTGGTGGTCAAGTCCATATCTCAGATACTATAAGCAATAGGTTAAGTATATTCGGTGTATGGAAGGATTGTAAGGTGTACATGTCTAGCTGGCAGGTGTCATTTGACCTTGACCTCATTTTCATTGTTCAGTGGTTATAGTTAAGATTTTGAGTTTTGGTCTTTTTTTCTAATACTATATGCAATAGATCAACTATATTTGGTGTATGGAAATATTTTATGATCTATATGTCAGTCGCGCAGGTTTTATTTGACCTTGACCTCATTTTCACAGTTCATTGCTCAGTGTTAAGTTTTTGTGTTTTGGTCTGTTTTTCTTAAACTATAAGCAATAGGTCAACTATATTTGTTGTATGGAAGAATTGTTAGCTGTACATGCCTGCCTGGCATAGTTCATCTGACCTTGACCTCATTTTCATGGTTCATTGGTCAATGTTTAGTTTTCTTGGTTAATGTTAAGTTTATGTGACAGTTGTAATAAAGCTTTATATTTAGGAGTATCAACATAATATCAATGATTAGTAAAGAAGGCGAGACATTTCAGCATGTGCACTCTTGATCATGTTTTGCATAGCTCCAGTTGAGTGACATAGACTCTTAAGAGCCTCTAGTTCGCTATGGCATTTGTCAGACTCTCAGACTTATGAGAATTGAATATCCCTTGCTATCTTCCACCTTTTTAATCTAAAAAATACTGTTTTATTCATTCATTGTCTAATTTGATATATATAATTCTATTTATGATGTATTATGCCCTCTTGGTACAGTTGTTTATTCTGTGTATTGGAATAAAACCAATATTTAAAAAAAAAAAAAATTCTCTTGCAATTGATATGTAATGTAGTAACTTTAACAAAACAGCCAATCACAGTTGAAAAAAAAATTAAATTTTGTGTGTGAAAGAGGAAGAGAATATTTCATTCATACCTTTCTTATATTTCAGTTTTAAATAAACACAAAGTTAAACTACAAAAGAATTACACAATGTTTGTTCATGGTGTTGACTCCAGAACAGACATAGCTGACCACCTATATCAGTCTGATGTTTTAAGTACTGAAGAAAAAGAGGAAATTTGTCATTCTTCACTCACTCAACAGGAAAGTAATAGACTTTTATACAACAAATTGATTCGCAAAGGTGGAGATGCATACAAACACCTTCTTGAAGCTGTAATACACGGAAAATACCATGATGTTGCTTCAGAAATGGAGAAGACAGAATTGTCAGATCAAGACATACAATTGTGTCAAATAGGTAATTATAGCAGATTCTGAAATTAATATTGTACCCGATTTACTTAGATGATTCCAATATATATCATAAATTTTACATTATAATTACAAAAATCTGCCCATTTTTTTATACATAAGAGCATATTGAGTGTATCTATTCAGAGGCGGATTTAGGGGGGGTTGGGGGGGACCCCCTCCCCCTTATGTGGGAAAAATTTTGTTGATTATTTAGGGAATCACTGAAGCATGACTGAAGTGGGTCCGCTCTCAGGCAGTCAGTGCCCTTCCCATTATATTAATCACATAATATGCTAAAAAAAATATACAATTCAAGGATAAAAAGACACGTTTTCATCAATATATGTTTAAGTGTAAAAGGAATGATCAAATGTTGGAAACAATCACCTCATTGAATTTAAAAACAAATTATTGTTTAATGTTTCCTCAATAAAAAGAATTAAGTTGGCCCAATATTACACTTATAAAATAACTGTGATTTCGTAAATTTCAATGTATTTTAACGAGAAAATATGGTCCCTAACTTCCAGTTTTTATACTAAGTTTTGAAAGTTCATTGACAAAGAAGTCTTACAGAAGATTATAAAAAATCTATTGGCCAATATTTAGAATCCCCATCTGCCTTAACTGCTAATAATAATTTATTAATTCTTTTATCACTTTCGTCAGTTGTGTTCAATTTGTAAAATCTTCAATTTTGTAAAATTATTGATAAAAAAATGACTTGAGATATAAATATTGTTTTTTTTTTTCCTTTACGACAAATTATTTTGTACAATGTTGGGTTTCAGTTATAGAAATATTTAGACTATGAAACATCTAGGCAGTTTGTCTTGTTTCAGGAATGGAGAAACTCAAAGACAGACATGAGAAAAAAGGTAACCATATAATATAGTTCACTGAACTTCATGCAAGACTGAAAGATGTATATTGTTTCAAATTGATGTTAATTGTCTTATAGCAGTTTTACCCTTAATGTGATTATCTACAGCTATTTTTAGTCCCCTACTGACAAAGTGGAAGGGGACTTTAGGTTTGCACTCCATCCATCTGTCTGTCCGTCTGTCCGTCCGTCCATCCGTCCGTCAAATCAGTTTTCCACACGGCGGCGACGTCAACAATGTTTTAGTTTGCGATTTGGTCTAGCATGTCTAGTTCATGGTAAACCACTAGCTATATATATATAGTGTTAGGTCAATGATATTTGGTATGCAGTTGTATTATCATTGGCGCATCTCATTGCCATAGCAATAATTTGGCCCTGTCCCCTTAGTCATGGTCTATTGAATTTGAAACTTTTGCTTAGTTTATATGTATTAGTTTGTGATTAGGTCAGTTTAAGGGAAACCAATAGTGGAAGGTCAATGATATTTGGTATGCAGTTGTATAAGCATTGGCATATCTCATTGCCATGGAGATTATTTGGCCCTGCCCCCTCAATCATGGTCTATTGACTTTGAAACTTTTACTTATAAAAAAGAAGATGTGGTATGATTGCCTATGAGACAACTCTTCACAAGAGACCAAATGACACAGAGATTTACAACTATAGGTCACCGTACGGCCTTCAACAATAAGCAAAGCCCATACTGCATAGTCAGCTATAGAAGGCCCAGAAATGACAAATGTAAAACAATTCAAACAGAAAACTAACAGCCTAATTTAAGTACAAAAAAATGAACGAAAAACAAATATGTAACACAAATAACAACCACTGAATAGTTTACATGTATTAGTTTGTAATTAGGTTAGTTCAAAGCGAACCATTAGTGGTAGACCAATGTTAATTGGTATACAGTTGTATAAGCATTCGCACATTTCATTTCCAATGAGAATATTTTGCCCCGCCCCCTCATGCATGGTCTATTGACTTTTAAACTTTTGCTTAGTTTACATGTATTAGTTTGTGATTAGATCAGTTTAAGATGAACTGCTACTGTTAAGTCAATTATATTTGGTATGCAAATTTATTGGCATTTGCAAGTCTTGTTTCCAAAGATTATAAAGCCCCACCTTCTCATCATGGTTCATGGACTTTGAAACTTTTACATAGTTGACAAGTTAATGTTTGTGTTTAGGTTTGTTTAAAGGGAAGGACTTATGATAAGTCAGTGGTATTTGGTATGCAGTTGTATTAGTATTGGCACATCTCATTTCTATGGAGATTGTTTAGCCATGTACCTTCAGTCATGGTTCATTGACTTTGAATATTTGCATAACTTAAATGATAAAGTACTGCTATGTTAATTTCAACATTTGCATTATCAAAATTACAAATAGGCGAGACGTATCTCTGTGTTAACAGTTTATTTTCTTTTTGGTCATGCCTGAAGATATTGAATTCATATTTGTTATATAGTTTACACGATGACAACTTATAGATGAAGTTAGCATTTTGTTCCAGTACAATGAATTTTTAACCAGTAGGGGACTATGTATATTGCCATAACATTTCTTGACATTTGCAGTTATCTTAGACATTACTTGGGACTATCAACAAATTATTCAGTAATGGTCGATTTAGCAGGTGCAACATTTCAGTGCACTCTTTTTAGTATTAGGCCGTGTATTTTTGGTGCAAGGAAAAACTTAACATAATTGTTAATAGGAAAAAAAGAATATGTGGTAAGATTGTCAATGAGAAAACTACCTGCCAGAGACCAAATGACGTAAAAGTTAGCAAATATATGTCACCATACAGCCTTCAACAATGAGCAAAATCCATACATCAAAGTAAGCTATTAAAGGCACTGAAATGACAAATGTGAAACAATTCTAACAAGACAACTAACAGCATGATTTATGTATGAAATATGATACACAGCAAAAAATGACAATCCCTGAATTACAGGCTCCTGACTTGGGGCATAAACATACATATATGCATAATGTGGCAAGGTTAAACGTGTACCAGTGTCAAACCCTCCCCTAACTTGGGACATGAACATACATAATGTGGCAAGGTTAAACATGTGTACCAATGTCAAACCCTCCCCTAACTTGGGGCATGAACATACATAATGTGGCAAGGTTAAACATGTGAACCGGTGTCAAACCCTCCCCTAACTTGGGGCATAAACATACATAATGTGGCAAGGTTAAACATGTGTACCGGTGTCAAACCCTCCCCTGACTTGGGGCATGAACATACATAATGTGGCAAGGTGAAACATGTGTACCGGTGTCAAACCCTCCCCTAACTTGGGGCATAAACATACATAATGTGGCAAGGTTAAACATGCGTACCGGTGTCAAACCCTCCCCTAACTTGGGACATGAACATACATAATGTGGCAAGGTTAAACATGTGTACTTGTGTCAAACCCTCCCCTAACTTGGGACATGAACATACATAATGTGGCAAGGTTAAACATGTGTACCGGTGTCAAACCCTCCCCTAACTTGAGGCATGAACATACATTATGTGGCAAGGTTAAACATGTGTACCAGTGTCAAGCCCTTCCCTAACTTGGGACATGAACATACATATATGTGGCAAGGTTACACATGTGCATGTGAACCAGTGTCAAATCCTCCCCTAACTTGGGACATGAACATACATATATGTGGCAAGGTTACACATGTGCATGTGAACCAGTGTCAAATCCTCCCCTAACTTGGGACATGAACATACATATATGTGGCAAGGTTAAACATGTGTACTGGTGTCAAACCCTCCCCTGACTTGGGGCATGAACATACATAATGTAACAAGGTTAAACATGTGTACCTGTGTCAAACCCTCCCCTAACTTGGGGCATGTACATACATAATGTGGCAAGGTTAAACATGTCTACCTGTGTCAAAACCCTCCCCTAACTTGGGGCATGAACATACATAATTTGGCAAGGTTAAACATGTGTACAGGTGTCAAACAATCCCTTAACTTGGGACATGAACATACATAATTTGGCAAGGTTAAACATGTGTATCAGTGTCAAACAATCCCCTAACTTGGGGCATGAACATACATAATTTGGCAAGGTTAAACATGTGTATGAGTGTCAAACAATCCCCTAACTTGGGGCATGAACATACATAATTTGGCATGGTTAAACACGTGTACAGGTGTCAAACAATCCCCTAACTTGGGGCATGAACATACATAATGTGGCAAGGTTAAACGTGTGTACCGGTGTCAAACCCTCCCCTAACTTGGGGCATGAACATACATAATGTGGCAAGGTTTAACATGTGTACCGGTGTCAAACCCTCCCCTAACTTGGGACATGAACATACATAATGTGGCAAGGTTAAATGTGTGTGCCGGTGTCAAACCCTCCCCTAACTTGGGACATGAACATACATAATGTGGCAAGGTTAAACTTGTGTACAAGTGCCAAACCCTCCCCTAACTTAGAGCATGAACATACATAATGTGGCAAGGTTAAACATGTGTACCGGTGTCAAACTTTCCCCTAACTTGGGGCATGAACATACTTAATGGGCAAGGTTTAACAAATGTACCAATGTCAAACCCTCCCCTAACTTGGGACATGAACATACATAATGTGGCAAGGTTTAACATGTGTACCAGTGTCAAACCCTCCCCTAACTTCGGACATGAACATACATAATGTGGTAAGGTTTAACATGTGTATCAGTGTCAAACCTTCCCCTAACTTGGGGCATGATCATACATAGTGTGGCAAGGTTAAATATGTGTACCGGTGTCAAACCCTCCCCTAACTTGGGACATGAACATCCATAATGTGGAAAGGTTAAATGTTTGTACCGGTGTCAAACCTTCCCCTAACTTGGGGCATGAACATACATAATGTGGCAAGGTTAAACATGTGTACCGGTGTCAAACCTTCCCCTAACTTGGGGCATGAACATACATAATGTGGAAAGGTTAAATGTGTGTACCGGTGTCAAACCTTCCCCTAACTTGGGGCATGAACATACATAATGTGGAAAGGTTAAATGTGTGTACCGGTGTCAAACCCTCCCCTAACTTGGGACATGAACATACATCATGTGGCAAGGTTAAACATGTCTATCAGTGTCAAACCCTCCCTAACTTGGGACATTAACATACAGAATGTGGCAAGGTTAAACGTGTGTACCGGTGTCAAACCCTCCCCTAACTTGGGACATGAACATACATAATGTGGCGAGGTTAAACATGTACCAGTGTGAAACCCTCCCCTAACTTGGGACATAAAAATACAATATGTGGGAAGGTTAAACGTGTACCGGTGTTAAACTCTCCCCTAACTTGGGGCATGAACATACATAATTTGACAAGGTTAAACATGTGTGCCAATGTCAAACCCTCCCCTAACTTGGGGCATGAACATACATAATGTGTGAGGTTAAACATGTGTACTGGTGTCAAACCCTGCCCTAACTTGGGGCATGAACATACATAATTTGACAAGGTTAAACATGTGTGCCAATGTCAAACCCTCCCCTAACTTGGGGCATGAACATACATAATGTGGCAAGGTTAAACGTGTGTACTGGTGTCAAACCCTCCCCTAACTTGGGACATGAACATACATAATGTGGGAAGGTTAAACTTGTGTACTGGTGTCAAACCCTCCCCTAACTTGGGACATGAACATACATAATGTGGCAAGGTTAAACTTGTGTACCGGTGTCAAACCCTCCCCTTATTTGGGGCTAACATACATAACGTGGCGAGGTTAAACATGTGTACTGGTATCAAACCTCTCCTAACTTGGGGCATGAACATACATAATGGGGCATGGTTAAACATGTGTACCAATGTCAAACCCCCCCTAACTTGGGGCATGAACATACATAATGTGGCAAGGTTAAACATGTGTACCAGTGTCAAACCCTTTCCTAACTCGGGGCTGACATACATAATGTGGCAAGGTTAAACATGTGTACTGGTGATAAACCCTCCCCTAACTTGGGACATGAACATACATAATGTGGCAAGGTTAAACATGTTTACCGGTGTCAAACCCTCCCCTAACTTGGTGCATGAACATACATAATGTGGCAAGATTAAACATGTGTACCGGTGTCAAACCCTCCCCTGACTTGGGACATGAACATACATAATGTGGCAAGGTTAAACATGTGCACTTGTGTCAAACCCTCCCCTGACTTGGGACATGAACATACATAATGTGGCAAGGTTAAACATGTGCACTTGTGTCAAACCCTCCCCTAACTTGGGACATGAACATACATAATGTGGCAAGGTTAAACATGTGCACTTGTGTCAAACCCTCCCCTAACTTGGGACATGAACATACATATTGTGGCAAGGTTAAATGTGTGTACCAGTGTCAAACCCTCCCCTAACTTGGGACATGAACATACATCATGTGGCAAGGTTAAACATGTGTACCGGTGTCAAACCCTCCCCTAACTTGGGACATGAACATACATAATGTGGCAAGGTTAAACGTGTGTACCGGTGTCAAACCCTCCCCTAACTTGGGGCATGAACATACATAATGTGGGAAGGTTAAACGTGTGTACAGGTGTCAAACCCTCCCCTAACTTGGGGCATGAATATACATAATGTGGCAAGGTTAAACGTGTGTACCGGTGTCAAACCCTCCCCTAACTTGGGACATGAACATACATAATGTGGCAAGGTTAAACATGTGTACCAGTGTCAAACCCTCCCCTAACTTGGGGCATGAACATACATAATGTGGCAAGGTTTAACATGTGTACCAGTGTCAAATCCTACCCTAACTTCGGACATGAACATACATAATGTGGCAAGGTTAAACATGTGTACCAGTGTCAAACCCTCCCCTAACTTGGGACATAAACATACAGAATGTGGCAAGGTTAAACGTGTACCGGTGTCAAACCCTCCCCTAACTTGGGGCATGAACATGCATAATGTGGCAAGGTTAAACATGTTTACCGGTGTCAAACCCTCCCCTAACTTGAGACATGAACTTACATAATGTGGTAAGGTTTAACATGTGTACCAGTGTCAAACCCTCCCCTAACTTCGGACATGAACATACATAATGTGGCAAGGTTAAATATGTATACCGGTGTCAAACCCTCCCCTAACTCGGGACAGTGATGTAACAGTACAACAAAAGAACAAACTATAAAAATCAGTAAAAAAGGGCTTATCTTCTTATTTCTATTAACTCACCAGATCGATACAAAACACAAAAGACAATAAGTTCAAATCTGAGAGTCATGTCCATAATTTGTTGTTTTTATTTTTTTTAGATATTAGGATGAATCACGATGAAGTCATTCCTAAACATATACTAGGTAAGTTTATTGATGTAGGACATTGGAACATTACTTAATCCTATAAGAAGGCATCTTCAGTACATATAACTGGAAAATTCAAATGTTTTGATTGATAAGGGCTTATATTGAGGATACAATCGCTTTATACTTTTCATGTTATCATGCACTCAAATTTAAGCTTTGCTTGTATGTTAAACATGAAATAAAAAAATGGAAAATGATTCACAAAAAAGTGTGGAAGCGGTGTAAGTTTTCTAGTTTGTATTTATCTACTCCTTTTATACTGCTTGTATTTTGACCAAAGGGTAGAATTCAAATTATTTGCATGTCACAGTGTGACACAGACTTGAAGGCAGGCAGAAAATAAGTGCTTTGGAATAATAAACTAGGCACTTATTTATAAACTATAAACAAACATAGTACATGTAGTGTGAACATATAGACGTTACTACAAAACATGAAAAATGTCCCAACAATGATAATAAATAATAACATACTTGTCAGAGTATTTTCCTTAAGGGGTAATGCCACCACTGATATTCCCCTATTAAGTCTTTGTTTAGTTGGCATTTGACAGTATGTACCTTAATTTAAGTAAAGCGATTTTACCATTTAACTTTAAATTAATTGCAAACCACATTTCCTTGCATAGAAGAAAAAAACATCATCTTAAGTTTTAAAAATATTTTATTAGAACACTGAATAAAACAAAATATGGTGCTTCAAAACACCCAAGATACATGAACATGATGAAACTGGATGTCACATACTTTATTTTTGTGGAATTACACCTTGAAATTTGAACTTAAAATCGATAGTTAATTTATTGAATTTCATTTTTTTACAGAGCAGTTCGAAAAACGCTTGGAACAGTGGAAAAAGGATGATCAACAGTTTGTTAGCACTGAAGCAGAGAAACATGTAATGCAAAACGTTTTGACACAAAGTTCAGTTACCCTGGTGGGAAATTCTGGCACTGGAAAAAGTTTTCTGTCTAAACACATTGCCCTCATAATGAAGAAACAGGGCTATACTGTAATTCCATGTAGTAAACCTGAAGATATTGGAAAATGGTTTAAACATGGGAGGAAAACTTTGTTTGTCTTTGATGACGTCTGTGGCAGATATACTCTTAATCAACAAATTTACACTGACTGGAAACAAAGACTTGATCACATAATATCTCTGCTCGAAGACAAATGTTGTAAAATCATATCTACATGTAGATTGGAGGTTTACAAAGATGAAGTATTTAGCAATCTCTCTTTTTTCAAAATGTGTAACATCGATTTAAGTTCACAAGAATTCAAACTTAGTGCTGCTGAAAAAAATGCTTTAGCTGAAGTGTACTTTAAGGAAAATACTGATGAAGTAAAGGAATGGTCAGACAAATATGTCTTTTTCCCCCTTTTATGTAGTTTATATCATAAACAGAACCTCCAGAAGAATGTAAGCATTAGATCTTTTTTTAGCAATCCTTTTGATGTTTTTAAAGATCAAGTTGTACAAATGTATGGAGAAAGTGATGCTGGTAAGATGCAGTATTGTAGCTTAGTCCTTTGTGTGATGTTTAACAACACATTAACAGAAGAAAACTTGTCACTAAAAGATAAGAAGATAGGAGCAGTCCTAGAAGATTTACTAGAAGAATGTGAACTGAATAAAGGAACATCCATCAAACGTTTAAAGAAATCCCTGGAAACACTTGAAGGTACCTATGTGGTCAAGGAGGATAACAAATACAAAATAATCCATGATAAGTTGTTTGATTTCCTTGCCAAGTACTTTGGGGAGAAGATGTTACAGATTTTCATTGATCATGCTAATACTGATTTCATTGAGGAGAGATTTCTATGGAAGATAACAGATAACATGGGCATAGAAATAGAGTTTGTAATAAGAATACCTGATAAATATATAAATAGATATATAGAAAGGTTACTGAAAGACTGGGAGAACGGTTATGTAAACAGTGTGTGTCAAAACAGAAACATGAAGTCTACTACATTTACAGAAATCTTCATAACACGTTTAAACCAACTTGATCTATCAAAACAACAAGAACTTGTTTCTACTAAAGATATTCACAATAAAGATATAGCATTTTCAGGAAGTTGTTATTTGGGTACAGTTGACCTGGTTAAATGGTTGATAAGTAGGAATACTAACATTAATTATTGTAGAGAGGATGGTTGGTTTCCTTTATTATGGACAAGTCAGGAAGGACATGTTGATGTTGTTAAAGTACTGTTACAACATTCAGCTGATGTCAATAAATGTAAGAATAATGGTGTATCATCTCTGTATATAGCTAGTCAGGAAGGACATGTTGATGTTGTTAAAGTACTATTACAACATTCAGCTGATGTCAATAAATGTAACAATAATGGTGTATCACCTCTGTATACAGCAAGTTATAATGGACATGTTAATGTTGTTAAAGTACTGTTACAACATTCAGCTGATGTCAATAAATGTAACAATGATGGTGTATCACCTCTGTATGTAGCAAGTGAGAATGGACATGTTGATGTTGTTAAAGTACTGTTACAACATTCAGCTGATGTCAATAAATGTAACAATAATGGTGTATCACCTCTGTATATAGCAAGTGAGAAAGGACATGTTAATGTTGTTAAAGTACTGTTACAACATTCAGCTGATGTCAATAAATGTGACAATGATGATGTATCACCTCTGTATGTAGCAAGTCAGAATGGACATGTTGATGTTGTTAAAGTACTGTTACAACATTCAGCTGATGTCAATAAATGTAAGAATAATGGTGTATCACCTCTGTATATAGCAAGTCAGGAAGGACATGTTGATGTTGTTAAAGTACTGTTACAACATTCAGCTGATGTCAATAAATGTAACAATAATGGTGTATCACCTCTGTATATAGCAAGTTATAATGGACATGTTAATGTTGTTAAAGTACTGTTACAACATTCAGCTGATGTCAATAAATGTGACAATAATGGTGTATCACCTCTGTCTATAGCAAGTCAGGTAGGACATGTTAATGTTGTTATAGAACTGTTACAACATTCAGCTGATGTCAATAAATGTAACAATAATGGTGTATCACCTCTGTCTATAGCAAGTGAGAAAGGACATGTTAATGTTGTTAAAGTACTGTTACAACATTCAGCTGATGTCAATAAATGTGACAATGATGGTGTATCACCTCTGTCTATAGCAAGTCAGGTAGGACATGTTAATGTTGTTATAGAACTGTTACAACATTCAGCTGATGTCAATAGATGTAACAATAATGGTGTATCACCTCTGTCTATAGCAAGTGAGAAAGGACATGTTAATGTTGTTAAAGTACTGTTACAACATTCAGCTGATGTCAATAAATGTGACAATGATGATGTATCACCTCTGTATATAGCAAGTGAGAATGGACATGTTGATGTTGTTAAAGAACTGTTACAACATTCAGCTGATGTCAATAAATGTGACAATAATGGTGCATCACCTCTGTATATAGCAAGTTATAATGGACATGTTAATGTTGTTAAAGTACTGTTACAACATTCAGCTGATGTCAATAAATGTGACAATGATGATGTATCACCTCTGTATATAGCAAGTCAGAATGGACATGTTAATGTTGTTAAAGTACTGTTACAACATTCAGCTGATGTCAATAAATGTAAGAATAATGGTGTATCACCTCTGTCTATAGCAAGTCATAATGGACATGTTAATGTTGTTAAAGAACTGTTACAACATTCAGCTGATGTCAATAAATGTAGTAATGATGGCCACCCACCATTACAGATGGCTTGTTACAACAACAAGATAGAGGTTGTACATGTACTTCTTCAGTGTGATGATGTTGATATTAATCTCTGTGATGATGATGGATGTTCTTCACTTTATTGGGCAAGTCAGAAAGGACATGTTGATGTTGTTACAGAACTGTTACAACATTCAGCTGATGTCAATAAATGTAACAATAAAGGTAAAAATTCTCTTAATGTAGCACAGGAGCAAGGACATATAGAAATAGAACAATTGTTAAAAGGAAAAGGAATAGATCAACATTTATGTCAAAATGATCAGTGAACATGGTGAAGGATGTTTTTTTTTTTTTTTAGAATTTGGACATTTTCATACATCGTTATTCATTTATTTAAAACCTCATAAAGCTGAAATTAGTTTATAGTTTGAAGTATCGACACTAGTCTATACTTCTATTAACCTTTAGCTGTTTTGTTTTTTGTTTTTTTTTTCTCTCTATTGTATTGTTAGGTTGCTGTCTATATTAACAAATCACTGTTTATACATATATACATATCTTGTTTTAAAGAACTTTTGGAAAGATTTTAGTGAAAATACTGTTAAATCAGATAAGGTAACTAACTCTTGGCTTGTTTTTCAATTAACATGATTAAAAAAATACAACAAATTATTTGGAATTGAAAGCAATTAAAGATAGACCAGCAGTATGCAAGAGAGGTGCACACCCTCTAAAAACAGAGACGGATGGATATGCAAAAAACAATTATATAGATAAATAACAAAGGTTATGTTTGATAAAGTTGAACATGTTGAAGATGAAAAACATTGTAAATGTGAATGTCCTCGTTATAATCTCTTGAAAAAATAGTTCTATAATATCATTTGTAAATTGTCAAAATGTTAAACTCAAACATTGTCAAACGCCAATTTCAAATTGTCTTTTTATTCAAGAAAACCTAGAGGTATTAAAAATTATTGGAATATATATATTAATGAAATCAGATAACTATCAATATTGTATAGATATGTTTATATGTAACCCATTAAGAATATTTGCCTGTTAATATTATGTATTATCTGTTTTATTACTGCATGTTTACACACATGCTTATGGCTTTGGACTGGCTGTGGCTTAAGATCTTAACATTTAGTTGATTATATTCATATTTGTATATGAATGTCAACATTATTTTTGTCAAGTATGAAAAATCATTGTATTAATATCTCCATGACCATAAGTACTTGTTTCAATAGTGCTGAAATCAAATCATATCTCCATGACTATACCATATACCATTTGATAAATAACTTTCTGGTTTGAATTTTCATTGAAGTTCGTATAATTTTGTTCTTTTACTTTTAATAAAATAGTAAGTTTCAAAATTCCAAAATTCCAATGAACAATGATGAATAAATGAGAATATTAAAATTTAATATGTAAATCTAGACTAATAAATCATGTTAATGTATACTATAAGCCTAATATATATTTTTGCTAAGTGTTATCTGTATCAAATATAGACAAAAAGGTTTGATAATTTGATAATTTGATAATTTGATTTATTCTATATCAAGTTTATGTATTATAATTTTTCAATGTTTTTATCTCAAAAGAAAGGAAAGGCAATGAAATCTTATAAATAAAGTATATAGTATTTTAGATTTATATGTTTACCAAAATGATTAATAACATTTGGTCATATTTCTGAATATTTATTTAAATGAGAATTCAATACAAGTAGCTTAAAATGTTTATTGATTTTGACACATTCTGAGAAGTTATCAAAATAAAACCAAAAAATAGACATTATGTGTATATTATCTTTTAAGAAGTGCTCAATTATAAATTAATGTATTATTGTATTTGGAGTCTTTAAAGAACAGTGGAATATGACAATGTTTTTATATTCTTAATAGAAGATGGGACTTTCATACACTGGAAAGGAATTACAGCCTCAATGAACCAATTTATTTCGTATTTATTAAAATTTAGATGTATATTGTAGATATTTTATACCATGTAGTGTTTCATATTAACTTATCATTTCTAATAAACTTATATACGTATGACTGAATTTTCCTTTTTCGTCATATAATTCAAAACTAATGGGTGATTATTTGTCGTCTTTGGTGTTAATCGTTCATAAGAAATAATCGTTCATGGTATCACATAAGACAAGGAGAAAAACAGCCATTAACAATACAAAGAGAATACGGTCATTACACATACAACAGGAGAAAACGTCAATTAAACATGCAACAGGAGAGAACGGCCATTTCACATAAAAAACAAGAATACGGTCATAATACAAATAAAACAGTAGAAAACGGCCATTACACATGCAACAGGGGAGAACGGCTATTTTACATACAACAGGAGAAAAATGTAATTACACATATAACAGAGGAAAACGGCCATAACATATAAAACAAGAGAATAGGGCCATTACACATACAACAGGAGAAAACAGCCATTACATATAACAACAAGAGAATACGACCAATACACATACAAAACGAGAAAACGGCCATTACACAATAAAAAGAAAATCCGGTCATTACACATACAACAGGAGAAAATGGCAATTACACATGCAATAGGAGAGATTGGCAATTTGACATAAAACAGGAAAAAACAGCCATGACACACAAAACAAGAGAATACGGTCATTACGTATACAACAGGTGAAAACGACCATTACACATGCAACATGAGAGAACTAACATTAGACATACAACAGGAGAAAACGGCCATTACACATACAACGAGAGAATACGGCCATTACACATACAACAGCAGAAAACGACCATTACACATAAAAAAGAGAATACGGCCATACACATATAACAGAAAAACGGCAATAACACATGCAAGAGGAGAGAACGGCCATTAGACATACATCAAGAGAAAACGGCCATTACACATAAAACAAGAGAATACGACCAATACACATACAAAACGAGAAAACGGCCATTACACAATAAAAAGAGAATACGGTCATTACACGTATAACAGGAGAAAACGGCAATTACACATGCAATAGGAGAGAACGGCCATTTGACATAAAACACGAGAAAACAGCCATGACACACAAAACAAGAGAATATGGCCATTACGTATACAATTAATGAAAACGACCATTACACATAAAACAAGTGGAAACGGCCATAACACATGCAACAGGAGAGAACTACCATAAGACATACAACAGGAGAAAATGGCCATTATACATAAAACCAGAGAAAACGGCCATTACACATACAACAGCAGAAAACGACCACTACACATAAAAAAGAGAATACGGCCATACACATATAACAGAAAAAAAAAACGGCCATAACACATGCAACAGGAGACAACTGCCATAAGACAAACAACAGAAGAAAACGGGTATTATACACAAAACAAGATAATACGGCCAATACACATGTAAAAGGAGAAAAACGGCCATTACACATACAAAACGAGAAAACGACCATTACACAACAAAAAGAGAATATAGTCATTATACATACAACTGGAGAAAACGGCAATTACACATGCAACTGGAGACAACGGCCATTAGACACAACAGGAAAAAAACGGTTATTACACATAAAACAAGAGAAAACAGCCATTGTACATATAACAGAAGAAAATGGGCATTATACATAAAAACAAGATAATACGGCCATTACACAAACAACAGAAGAAAACGGCCATTACACATGGAACAGGATGAACAGCAATTAGACAAACAAAAGGAGAAAACGTCGATTAACAAATACAAGAGAATACGATAATTACACATACAACAGGTGCAAGCGGCCATTACACATAATCAGGACAATACGGCCATTACACATACAACAGCAGAAAACCGCCATTACACATATAAAAGAGGAAAACGGCCGTTACATATACAACACGAGAAAACGGCCGTTACACATTCAACAGGAGAGAAAAGTCGTTAGACACACAAGAAGGGAAAACGGCCATTACACAATAAAAAGAAAATACTGTCATTACACATATATCCGGAGAAAACGACCATAATACATGCAACCGGAGAAAACGGCCATTAGACATACAACAAGATAAAACGGCCGTTAAACAATAAAAAGAGAATACGGCCATTACACATATTACAGAATTAAAAAAGGCAATAAAGCATGCAAGAGGAGAGAACGGTGATAAAATATACAACAAAAGAAAGTAACCATTACACATAAACGGCCATTACACATGCAACAGGAAAGAACGGCCATTTGACATACAACAGGAGAAAACGGCCATTACACATAAAACAAGAGGAAACGGCCATTACATATAAAACAAGTGAATACGGCCAATACATATATAAAAGGAGAAAACGGCAATTTCACATACAAAAGGAGAAAACACCATTACACAATAAAACGAGAATATGTTCATTACACGTACAACAGGAGAAAACGGCCATTCCACATAAAACAAGAGAATACGGCTATAACACATACAACAGAAGAAAACGGTCATAACACATGCAACAGGAGAAAACGGCTATTACACATAAAGACGGCCATTACACATACAACAGGTGAAAACGGCCATTACACATAAAATCAGAGAAAACAGTCATTTCACATAAGAATACGACCATTAAACATACAATAGGAGGAAACGGCCATTACACATGCAAGAGGAAAGAACGGCCATTTGATATACAACATGGGAAAACGGCCATTACACATACAACAAAAGGAAACAGCCATTACATATAGAACAAAAGATTACGGCCAATACATATATAAAAGGGGAAAACGATCACTACACATACAAAAGGAGAAAACATCCATTACACATGCAACGGGAGAGCTTATTACAAAAGAAGAAAACGGCAATGATCAATAACAAGAGAATACGGTCATAAAACATACAAAAGGTGCAAACGGCAATTACACAATAAAAAGAAAATCCGGTCATTACACATACAACAGGAGAAAATGGCAATTACACATGCAATAGGAGAGAACGGCAATTTGACATAAAACAGGAGAAAGCAGCCATGACAAACAAAACAAGAGAATACGGCCATTACGTATACAACAGGTGAAAACGACCATTACACATGCAACATGAGAGAACTAACATTAGACATACAACAGGAGAAAACGGCCATTACACATAAAACGAGAGAATACGGCCATTACACATACAACAGCAGAAAACGACCATTACGCATAAAAAAGAGAATACGGCCATACACATATTACAAAAAAAAACGGCAATAACACATGCAAGAGGAGAGAACGGCCATTAGACATACATCAAGAGAAAACGGCATTTACACATAAAACAAGAGAATACGACAAATACACATACAAAACGAGAAAACGGACATTACACAATAAAAAGAGAATACGGTCATTACACGTATAACAGTAGAAAACGGCAATTACACATGCAATAGGAGAGAACGGCAATTTGACATAAAACAGGAGAAAACAGCCATGACACACAAAACAAGGGAGTACGGTCATTACGTATACAAATAGTGAAAACGACCATTACACACAAAACAAGTGGAAACGGCCATAACACATGCAACAGGAGAGAACTACCATAAGACACACAACAGGAGAAAACGGTCATTGTACATAAAACCAGAGAAAACGGCCATTACACATACAACAGCAGAAAACGACCATTACACATAAAAAAGAGAATACGGCCATACACATATAACAGAAAAAAAAACGCCCATAACACATGCAACAGGAGACAACTGCCATTAGACATACAAAACGAGAAAACGACCATTACACAATAAAAAGAGAATATAGTCATTATACATACAACAGGAGAAAACGGCAATTACACATGCAACTGGAGACAACGGCCATTAGACATACAACAGGAAAAAACGGTTATTACACATAAAACAAGAGATAACAGCCATTGTACATATAACAGAAGAAAACGGGTATTATACACAAAACAAGATAATACGGCCAATACACATGTAAAAGGAGAAAACGGCCATTACACATACAAAACAAGAAAACGACCATTACACAATAAAAAGAGAATATAGTCATTATACATACAACAAGAGAACACGGCAATTACACATGCAACTGGAGACAACGGCCATTAGACATACAACAGGAAAAAACGGTTATTACACATAAAACAAGAGTAAACAGCCATTGTACATATAACAGAAGAAAACAGGTATTATACATAAAACAAGATTATACGGCCATTACACATACAACAGAAGAAAACGGCCATTACACATGCAACAAGACAACACAGCCATAAGACAAACAAAAGGAGAAAACGTCGATTAACAGAAAACGGCCATTACACATAAAGACGGCCATTACACATACAATAGGTGAAACCGGCCATTACACATAAAACCCGAGAAAACGGTCATTTCACATAAGAATACGGTCATTAACAATTACACATACAACAGGAGAAAACCGCTATTACACATCTAACAGAGAAAAACAGCCATTACACATAAAACAAGAGAATACGGCTATTACACATACAACAGAAGAAAACGGAGATAACACAAACAACAGGAGAAAACGGCCATTACACATAAAGACGGCCATTACACATACAACAGGTAAAAAAGGCCATTACAAATAAAACCAGGGAAAACGGCCATTACACATACAACAGCAGAAAACGACAATTACACATAAAAAAGAGAATACGGCCATACACATATAACAGAAAAAAACGACAATAACACATGCAACTGGAAAGAACTACCATTAGACATACAACAGGAGAAAACGGCCGTTATACATAAAACCAGAGAAAACGGCCTTTACACATACAACAGCAGAAAACGACAATTACACATAAAAAAAAAAGAATACGGCCATACACATATAACAGAAAAAAACGGCCATAAAACATGCAACAGGAGACAACTGCCATAAGACAAACAACAGAAGAAAACGGGTATTATACACAAAACAAGATAATACGGCCAATACACATGTAAAAAGAGAAAACGGCCATTACACATACAACAGGAGAAAACGGCAATTACACATGCAACTGGAGACAACGGCCATTA